TGGAGGCGCATCAAACTAGAGCTGGTTGTGTTTTGGCCTGCGGCCCTCGCTGTGAGTCTAAATGGTCTCATTAGGTGCACAGCGGGATGATCAACAGTCCTTTTTCTAATGTGTCATATCACCAGGCTCAAGGTAGCTGAACATGGCGCATAAAGTATGATTTCGTTTGGAGGACGAATGTGGATCCAGTTGCTTAAGTAAAGACTGTTACATAAGGGTTGAGGGTCTCACGTCCAAAGGGAGTTGCCTGTTTGTGGAGTTGAAACGGATTGGGTCAGAGCACGTACCAATCTTGATTCCTGTACAGCAGTATGGGTGGAGGGTGACGAGCTAGCGAACAAAACTTTAGTGACAATTTTTGAACTCGGAGCCTATTGATTTTTGGTTCAGTAGGTGCTTTCACTCACCTACGTGACTGAATCTAAAAGATTAAACTAACTGCCAGGTCGACTGTTTATTCATACGATAAAAATGATATTCGCTCAACTATGGGCGTAATTCCTAATGGCTCAGCCGGCGCTGTCAACGCTTTTGGGGTTTGCGATTTCCGTTTATTGGATGCTATCGTGGAACTTCGAATTGCCGCGTACACCATTCACTGCTCCTGGTGTTTTGCATCTGCCGAATGAGACCGTGTGATGATGCACCAAAACCGATTTCCACTTGATTTCCACACTCCTATACGAATATTCTCGATGGTATTGATTCCTCTTCACCTGCTGCCAACGGCGTTTGTTGTTTGTCCCTTCAAGGATACTCGTTAACTTTGGTGTGCCCCTAAGACGCCATGCTGGTCACATCTCAATTTCGATCAGTGCATGAAAAAAACGGATCAGATAAACAGAACTAATTTTCTATCAACTCTTCCACCTATTGTCTGATACTAGTGTGACTTTACTTTCATTAGTTGAAATCGATCTCGGTGTGTGGGAAAATCAATACTGACCAACGGATTAACTGAAAGGAGCGTTCTGACTGGTTACTGGTGTGCGCCTAAATGAGAACGACTTACTTACTGATCAAGGCAAAAGCTTGGTTACTTGATACGGAGAGGTGGATAAATTCTTTCATGGTACTTAAAATGAGAATGGAACTTAATGTCTTGAACTTCAGAGTAGCCGAGGTCCGAGACGATTCTGAGCTACGTAGGTGGATGAAGAACACAGTGAACGACAAATCTGTTTAAGGCTTGTTTGACTCACTTTTTCAACTCAAATAGGTATGCAAATAAATCGTAAATAAGAGACCCAAACAAGCCATTGACCCATTTGTAACACCTGGCTTTCAGTCTTCAGATCAAGCTCGGGTGTGCTTTCAAACATTCCATCATTAGGACGTGGTGGGATAATGGTTTGATTGGTCAAAATGGTCGTGGGTATGGCTCATCGCATCAGTGTTTCATCCCCCTGGTTGCATGATGTTGGTGTGACGTAACGAAGTTGAAACTGCTGTTTACTTCAGTGGTGAATGTTGAAGGGTAATATAGGCAATATAAGTGGTGTTTTATGACCCGCATCACATGGCTTTTGTTTGGAGGGTTGTGCAGTTCGTCTCGAATTGCCTTCCGTTCTTCATAGTCCGGTTGTGCAGTTCGTCTCGAATTGCCTTCCATTCTCCATCGTCTTGAACTTCTCCAGGAAATTCCTTTGGTTACAGTGACTGATATAACAGGCAAAGATCAAAAGTCGAACTTGTTCATGTCTGGGTGTTTCGTCAAGAATTTAAGTTCATATCTGAGCGCGTGTTGGAGCTGCCCACTCATACTTGCTACTTTTAGAGTATTTTTTGTCCGGAACCGGCTTCAGTTTGGTGCAGACAAACTCTAAAGATCCCTGAGGATGCGCTGGAAGTTGGCTTATCTTCGTGAAACATTGCCTCAGTTGGGAACACGAATTTAGATGTGGAAGAATCACTCAGTTGGCTGCACGAACGGCATCTTAAAACGGTCAACCCAATTTCGGGTTTTGTCATGATATCGACAGTTCGTATCATCGATATTTTTTGTCAGTTCTATATATTCATCTGTCTACAGTACACAAAGAAGTGGATTGACTTCCTTATTTTTGAAAATTGTGAGCTGTTTTCGTTCCTAGGGTCGATTTGAAATTAATAGGCATCAATATGGATCAATATGATCTAGCATTCATATCTAAAAAAAACCTGGGTTCAGCGTCCAGCTAACACTTTTTTCTTCGCCTTCTCTAGCCCTTGTTTGAAAAGGTTTCCACAAGCTGTATATTGAATTATCGATCCGTGAACGGGTGTTGTCTGAGGCTGTGTGGATGAGTCATTCTGATTTCTGAAAATTGTGAGCTGTTTTCGTTCCCAGGCTCGATTTGAAATCAATAAGCATCAATATGGATCAATATGCTCTAGCATTCATATCTAAAAAAAACCTGGGTTCAGCGTCCAGCTAACACTTTTTTCTTCGCCTTCTCTAGCCCTTGTTTGAAAAGGTTTCCACAAGCTGTATATTGAATTATCGATCCGTGAACGGGTGTTGTCTGAGGCTGTGTGGATGAGTCATTCTGATTCGAATGGCCAGGCTAGTCACGATTCCGCACGTGACATGACTCCATGAGGCCGTCACAACGTTCCAATAGAAATGTGGGTGTGGGTGAGTGATAGTTTGTTCACGGGTAGACGACGATTCGAACTTATCTGAACGATGATGGCGGGCCAGTGAGTTGATTTCCGATTGCAGTTGTGATATCACGATACTGTGGTGAATCGTTTGTCAGTAGATACGCCCCGCAAGAGGACACTGTTAATCTTTATGGTACGATGGTATGAAATCTCTCTGGCCTTGAGATGCAGTTCTCACTGGGCAGTAAAGAACGAACATTTGATATTGATGTTTGCTGTCAATCGATGAAAGTAAGGAGAAGAGGTGTACTAGCAAGGGATATCAAGGAGTCTACAGTAAGTTTCACAGTAGTTTCACATCACTTTATATTTGGGTCGTGAAGATGTAAGAACCATCCGTTTCTTGTCCGTTGCCACGGTAACCCCTGGGTTTCAACTATAAATCCTTTTCTACTTTCAGGGTTTTGATAATAAGAGCTCCTGCTGTAGAAGCGTTCCCAACTTGGTCAACCAAATGAGGTCAAGGTAGCTTAGTGGACTGGAAGGTCGTGGTTCGAACCCAAAATCGGTATCTCAACTGCTTCCGTCTAGGTTTAGTAACTCAGCCCTTGTACTTCCCTGGGTCCCTGTGGCAGCTAAGCACCGAAGGAATGTTACAACTCAAAGGTTATTAATAATACTGTTCAACCAAGACCTTCCCTCTCACACCCTCCAGTTTCTGCTTTTCACGTTTCGTTCACTCGGTGAGCTGGTTGCTACGGCACGTTGTACCCATTTCCTGTACCTCTGGGGCGGAAGGTAGACGGTGACTTTGGAACACAGCGCCTCGACATCATGGTAGCACAAAACCGATGTTGTCTCCAGTCATGACCGCGTTAACATTGCCAAGGCACTCAATAAAAATTACGATTGGTATATACCAACCAGCCAATCACATGACAGGATACTAGATACTCTTCAAAAACTGTATAAACGCAGCTAGGCACGGATGAGGCACCTACTCAACTGCGCACTGACCATGTCTCCTCGACTGGGGGCAAAACGTTTGCAAGCCGAATGTCAAGCTCGGTGAACAGATCAACTGCCATCTGACCGACCACCAGTAAACACACCCAACCCACCCATATTTCGACAAATTGATTTTACTCTACCACGTTCCATCCTGGAGGCAACTCAGGAGTGAATGAGTAGACGTCGCGAACCTTTTGTCCGCTTTTGATGTGTGGAGGAAGTTGGTTGAGTACGCTAGACCCTCCTGATATTGCTGAGGGTGCCGAATGGTTTAGTCGCGCATATTTGCACTGCAGCCGTCCACTGTGAGTTTACGCACTGTAACACTTGAAGGATAGCTCACACTGGGCAGATGAGGACCTTACTTTTTTCCGAATACGCCCATCTGCAGATAAATCTTGTTTTATCGTGAGATTCTATTGAATCCTATAACAAGCGCACTGCACTTTGTTGAATATTTGCCAGGGAATGACATTGATGTGGATGGTATGGCGCCATCACGTTCTTTCCTAACTCGAGGGTCCTTGTCACACCAACCTTCAGGGGCTAAACTCATGGATATGCAATTTTTAACCACAAGTGCTATGAAAATATTTTGTTTGGCCCGTAGTGGACACCCTCCCAGGAGAAGTCAACTTGTAGAAGAGATCGCTTCCGCTGGGTCCTTGGAACTGAATTTCAGAGGGACAACTATATGGATGCCACCTGTGACCTGAATTTTCAAAACAAAAATTTTCGAGAAACAAGGTGTGTTAAATCACTTCCCCTAAATACCGCCTGAAAGAGCTCATCCAGGGGAAGACGTTGGTGGTTCAAAGGCTGTCGAGTCTTCAGATCAGAGAATAAGTCATGCGACCATAATACAACGTGGCACTTATGTCCCAGGGATACATGTGGAATCACGTGCGTAGACGGAGTAGCGCGTCTTTCAATAAAACCTCTAGATAATCCAATACATGATATATATTGGACTGAACTAGACTAGACTACTCCGCATAATCAGACGTCGGAATACCATTTACTGTTGCCCTGGGCAAAAGATGTGGAAAGGGAATCTGTGTGGAAATGGAAGTGTTCTTAGCCCTACCCTGGTAGCCCTCATTCGCCGCCTATTTCCTCCATTGACATAACCCTGTGTGGCACAGTATCATTGCCGTTCCAGCAACTTAACGATGTGCGGCGACCTTGAACCCTATCATCTGATTGGCTGATTTCATCACAGTTATTCTTGCTGCTGAGTGGTTAACGTATGACGAGAATTTTTGTGTTGGCTCTCATTTGCCTGCACATGTGTTGTCGCATACAAGATTTGTAGCTCATTATCTAGGGAAAAGTGTGCGTCCCTGTGTCGCAGACAAATACTGACGCGGATGAACTCGGCAAAGCCTTTATAAGTAAAGCAGAATGCTGCGATCAGTTTGGCTACCGGCGGACTTGTTCAGATGGCGAAGACTGGCGCACAAGTTGGGTGGGGAATTCTTTGGTTCCTGGTAATGCTTTTCGGAGCATTTCCATTGGCCATGATAGTTGCCTGGATTTACATTATCCTCACAATGGTTGCCGAATGTGCACCCTCCGCGCAAAAAGCAGCTGATGCGCTTTTCAAAGTTGTCAGTTGGCCTGCACTTTGCATTCGGAACATGCTTGACGGTAAGAAGATGTGCTGATCCACAAAGTTTATCCACCGACCACGTTGGGAAACTTGATTTACCTCGTGAGCTTATTTGTTGTCTATTACTTTTTTTATGTACATTTTGTATAATTAATAGAAGTACTTTCATGTGCAAGCTAGTTGATGCAATCATGAGTTCGTAGGACCGCATTGTAGATTTCACTAAACTGAGCGAATTTGAAACCACCAAACCGAGAGGCGTACACAAGAACGCGTGAGTCCTCTAACAGTCAGTTAGCACCAAGCGATCCTGGTCGACCCTACGGCATAAAGTGTGAGTCCCCCTTGGTGGTTTGGACTTTTGGCTGTCGGGCTGGCTGTGAGCAGAGAGTGGCCGTATGATGCCAGAGAGTTCTAAACCTCTCTCTGATTGCCCATAAATAAACTGTTGGGAATCCCATATCGTGGAAGGTGTTATCTTGGGCGGTTTGTCGCTCACACAACTTCCGGGCTTGAAGAAGGATCTTGAACTGCCGAACGGTTTCCAACGACCTCATGAGTTGTGTCCTTTGAAAAGCATAGTCTGATTCTGTTTAGCCATGCACGTCGGCATGTGTTTGCAGAGAAGCCCACCGGGATGGCATTCTTCAGTAGAAAGTGGCATAGTGGTTTCTATTGAAAAAGATCACAACTCATGGTTGAGACTTTGTTCTCCCCGAGGGGATCCACGTGACAGTGGCTGTGGACACTGTTCAGTGTCCCTGGACAGTACGGTGGTTAACCGATGTCAGCAGCGTTCATGCTGTCAGCTATATCCCGATTGCCTGATTGAGTATTCGAAGTGTAGACAACCTGGGCTAACGCTGATTTTCGTTTGTTACCCCACTTCTTTGTTCCTGCATTCTAAGGATGCAGGACTGACGTGTTGTACATCGATGAAGCACCAATGTTCTCATCTGGTTTTACTGTCACTGATGACTTTTGCAAATCCGACCTAGGTCATTCCCTTCTGTGAGAAATATCTCAAAGGGAAGTATTTATTCTTGGCTTAAACCTCGAGGGATGTTCCAACCTGCTGCCCCCCAAGAATTACGGGTTCGGTCGTGAGCTGTCAAGTGTTTTTCAGCGGCCTTCTAAGTAGTATACTCAACTGCATGGTCCCCTTGCAGATCTGCGTCTCTACTTACTTGTGGAACTTTCAGGAAGGTCAGATTCCTAAAAGTAACCACCAGGAATCTACTGAACAGACAGAAAACGCCCCTCTCAATATGCAGCCTTGTATCAAAGCCAGACAGCGCGAACCAGCGTTGGACTAAAGTCACTAGGTACCAGGCACTAAAGCGGAAAGGGCAGTCAGATACAATGGGAACACATCAGTATCTAATGTATTTTTCGTATCCCTGGCTCAGAGTTTCCTAACAGGAGACGAACCCTTCTTCTCGGAATGAGGCGGAGCAGTTGGAGAGGGTTGGTGGGATATATTTTTTCGCTTTCGTATACATTTTTCCTTGCTTAATAAGTACCCAATCTTTAGAGAACTATCAACACCTTGTTGTACAAAGCACCGTCGGCATAAATCTTTGTTTATAGCAAGTTATCTGTAGATCATGGAGTTCGAGCTTGAGCGAACGAAGGAGCAGAAACAAGGCCTATTCACAGCGAATATGTGAACATTTTAGTGTAAAAAGCCAGTAACTCAGGAACAGAACTGATTGTTTCTTCGTTAGGCC